TGCAAATTTGTCATCTTTTACTGTGAAGCATTGTCTTTTTATATTCAATATACACGAACATGCATGCAGTATAGATCAGTCCAAACTGAGATGGACAACTCAAGACATGTACATGTACAAGACACCTGACTGCATTGGTTGGATGGTCACCATCCAGTTGTAAATAAGTTCTGGAGAAGCCCTGGTGCAAGGTTTTTGCCTTGTGTGTAAATGTAAACTATTGTCAGTGTTTTTGAATTACTATTAAATTGTGGAGATGCGCCCTTAGGTCAAAAGAAGAAAACACACGGTTGGACTTTTGGTTACCCAACCTCAAAAAAAAAACAAAAAAAAAAAAAAACACACACACAACTTGCATTCTGTTTTGGGAAAACGTACAAAAAATTAAAAGTATGATTCTCATCACAGTGCTGACCCCAAAGACTTATTTTTGTATGCACTTTTTTAATGCTTCCTCTTGTGGTTTCTAAATTCAGACACATGTATGCATTCTATGACTACTAAGCCAGCAAATACCAAGCTAATGTACATGTAGTTTTGCTGCATCAGATATTGTCACCTGTTCACAAATGAATGGGGGACAGAATGTATCACCCTTCCCTGATATTTTGGCTAGAAAATGTAAAAAGAATAGTTTTCAACCACCGACCCACCTACATGTAAACGTATATTTTTCAATGCATCACAAACATGTCTTTCAACAAATGAATTTGGTGTTTCCCTCCTTGAGACATTTTCAAAAGATATGCTTAGGACATGTAATCTTTCAGCCTAAATGAAAATGTACATTGTTCTGTGGATACCACATTCCGAAGGCTGCAACTTACAAGGTGTTTTCATGTAGCCTGAACATCAGAACAAAGTCACTGTTCAGTGTACACCCTCTGGTCGAAATTGGAAAAGATAAAATTGACTAAATGAATACTGTGCATCTTTCCAATCACAAAATACAGAGGACTTTTAATCCTGCTTGTTTCTCTTTACATGAATTGAACAAAGTAGTTTTTCAAATCAAAGCCCAAGGCAAAACAAAAAATACAACCTCTGTGATTTCGTATGTGGATGTTGAATTTCTAAGCACATTTTTATATCAGAGTAGAACAAGATTATTCTGTTATATCCAGCTTGTGCAGTATGATATGTACAAAAAGGGCTTGTAATACATTGAAACCCACTATGCACATCATTAGCTGTACACATGGACAACACAGTCATACACATCGTGTTCCACGTCTATGGAGACGTAGTGGCATAACGGGACAAGAAATGCAATATAGAGTACCACTATAATGCTTCATTAGCAGATGTCTGCTTCATTTGTCACAATTACAGCATGCACTGCGTATACATGTACATGATGCTACTCACTGCAATCCACTAACTCCATCTACATGTATATGCCACATTCTGATGCCATCTTGTCAGTTTGGAAAATGAAGCATATGGCGAGTACATTTTCGAACTTGTTTCCCATTCAAAATATATTTCCCCCAACATATTATTTGTGCTTGATGCCCTTTAAGTTCAGGACTCATGAATTTCACAACAAAAATCCAAAGTTTGTGGGAGTTAAGATTTTAAAATAGCCTCATTCAGGTAATCCATTAGCAACAGTATTGTTAAGAAGACAAGAAACAATAATCGGGCTTACTGTAACAGTTGAAGGAGTCAAGTCGTCCCCGTCGTTAGAGCGGTCGGTAGTCATGGGAAGGAGACTGAATTTCACCTTTGGGGCAGTTTCGTTGTCTGACCCGTTTTCCGGGGCAAGAATCACCGTCCAAATTCCTTGTGGAGGGAAAGTTAACATTGTTGGCATCAGTAATGGGTGATATGAGCCTCCAACATAGTACTCAAAAGTAGGAACACCCCACCATCTGGAATCTGGACCATGTGTACAATGCTGCACACACCAGCAGCCAGTGGTTGGTTGTGCTATACAAAGCAATACATAGAGTGTCACAGTTCAGCATCCATCCCCGCATGTCTTCCACATATGTGCAGACATATGTACATCCACACAAAACAAGTGACATATGGAACCTAAAACTGGCATGAATGGACACAAACAGTACATCCCTGGCAGAGTTATTTTCAGTGTTGTTGCCTACAAAGACTAAAAAGCTGAACAGAAAGCCTTTCTCAAACAGTCAAAAATCGAGGATACTGATTACTGGCCAGGCTATATTTAGCTCACGAGATGCTATTAAAAATCCGTGCATTGCAGTAGCTGTATTATGGTGTAGGCCCATTCCAAAATGTAGAAACAGGACCGGCCGAAAGTGTCTACGCCTACGCGGGGATTTCTGTACACTTGCGTGTGTTCTACGTAATGACCACGTAAGAGAACCGACAAGGCGAGACTTGGGTCAGTCCAGTATTTCCCCCTACGCGAACAGTCAGTCATTTCAGTAAGGAGTGAGGCTTGCTAATATTCAATCGCCGTGTCGCGAGCGAAGTCATTAATTCATTAGAATTTCAGCATTATTTGAGCCGTTTTTTTACCTCCCCCGTTCCAAGAGATTCAACAACCCCACGTGATTAGCTAGACATGGCGGCGCACAGTATGCGAAACATGCCGAACAACTGGACCGTTTGTACTCACTTTGGCAGCTGAAAAGGAAGCTTACAGACCACGGTCAGCGTATAAAAACGGCTAGAAGTAAGAATGGACCTTTGGTAATATGCAGAAATTACCTGGTAGAAAAAATCGTCGCCGTTCAGGTCAATATTTACTCATGAAATCTGTGATTAGTGTGGCTCTTCCTCTTGGAACGTACGACATTATCTCGCAGGGACGATTTTCGCACATGCGCAAATACGCTAGCCAACCTGGGGCGGATCATTGCAAGAATTATTACGCTTTGCGAGAAATTTCTAGTACTGCATTACAATGCTCACAGAATCTGTAATTAATAAGTTACGATATTTAAGCAATAAATTTATGTTTATCTCTTTTGTTTTAATTCCGAAATTTATAATCAGGGTCCACATTACAAGGCACTATTTTGCCGGTATTGTTGGCTTCCCAGACGCCATGTGCAGTACTGGAGATGTCCAACTATATGGCCCTCACGTACACATGCATGTACATGTATACGTACGTATGCACACAACCTAGTACGCTCGTTTGGGGGGTACAGTATTGAATTAATAATGCCATTTCAAGGTGCGCAATGCGGCTCAGTGCCCCTGAATACAATTACAGAAACCCGTCGATTTAAATACCAAAATGTATATATTCATGATATGATAATATTGTATTTTGGATGCATGGTGGTAGTGGGCCGGCTTAATATGTGCATGTCACGTGTGGCGTGACGCATGATGTGTGTCCATCATAACTTTAGCTTTGTGGTAGGTACGGTGTGCATGCACATGTACATGTATGTGTACATGTACATGTAGTTAATGTGGATTACTGTACATGTACATGTACTGTACATGTACAACAATGTACATGTATAATATTGTACGAATATCCACAGTACTGTACATGTATTTACTCCGTGCATACACGCAAGTGCACACCACACATGAACACTCATTCTACTTCTATACATGTACATGTTTACAAACGCACGTACATGTATGTACATGTACATGTACATGTGCTCGCACGTCTACATGTAGAAAGTGTGATAATTATTTTGCCTCACCTGTACGTTTACATGGCATTTACATAATAGCTGCAGAACGGTTGTCGCCCTCTAGTTGTTTTTAAATTTTTACTTTACGGGTCTTATTTTGATTAAAATTTGGAATAGGTAAACCGCGGGGTGGGTCAATGAGCCGCTGGCATGGAGGTAGGAATAATAACCAGGTCCATGCTTCTGTTTTGTTCATTAATTTGTTTTTGAAAATGAACTGCGAAAAATTACTTTGTTTCTCAATGACATTTTTCTTCTTCTCTGACGTCTATTTAGTTATCTGTTTATCGAAAAGCTTACATACAAACAAACATTTATTTCAATTTAAAAATTAGAAACATTTCAAGCTCAGTGTTGTTTTCTACCAGAGAAACTGGAAAAATGTTAGTTATCATTTTTCCATTTGTAAACGAAAAACGGCAAAAATGAGGTTTTCTCATCCAAATTTCGTATTAACAGGACACCTACTTTCTCTCTTCCAACAGTGCCGCCAAGTAGGGCCGCGGGAGGGCGAGGAGGGCGTTCAGCAAGCCTAGTGGAGTAATAAGCCACTGGGCCATGGTCAGCCGGGATGCTCATTGTGTCCGATGAGCATGCGCAGTAGACGCCAGACATAGGTGTCAAATAGTGTCCAGTGCGAAATCGTGTACGAGCGCAGTCATGGGTATGTGTGCAGGTACGTCAATAAACGCATGTATTTCCGCAGTGCAGGATGGAGTGCAGGAGACTGAAGAAAAAACTTGTCAGGAACGAACGGGAAGACACGGACAGAATTTGGCAGGAGGGACAGTATTTGGCAAAAAAATTAGATAAAAAGATTTTCATCTTTACGACGTCTTGACAGATCATCAACTATGGGGATTTTACGTAGGACCAAGCTATCAAGTCTGGGTAGAATGATTTAACTGAAACCACCCAAAGAAACACTCATGTCCGAATTTTCCCTTTGTCCTCCTCAAGTAATTGCCCAGAATTTGTCATTTAGTCATTGGTCACTCACGTATCCTTGATCCCACCTCCGTTTAATGTCTTGGTAATTAATATCCTAATGAAGTTCCCGTTTGTGGTCAATTTACCAGCACTGCCCCACCCCAAGACTCAGTTAGGCTATAACTTTTATAGCCACAAATTTGACCACAGTTCAGGAAGTTATACCACCTAGTCTACATCCCACTCACTAAAATCACCCCGAAATGTTTCATGCTTGTCTTCCCTCCGTCTTCAAAAGTCAGCCTTCCTCGCTGATGTCTAATGATATTAGTCCGTGTTTACCTAATAAAACATCGTCGATCCAAGTATCATTGGGACCGTATCAGTTCACAACTTTAACTCATCTCTTTGTCAGGCCACGCTTATCAACTTTTATACGACGAAGTTTTAAACTTTTAAACTCACTATCTGGAAAAGTCAACTGGAGATGGGTGAAAAACGAATTTCATTAGAGCCTGAAAGTTGACCCCTGATGGCTCGCTTCCAGAACACTTGGAATAGGAAACATAACGTGCAAAGATTTTAGAATTTTGTAATATTTTTTTCCTTCAGTTACTTCTTAAAAAACCAACTCGGAAAGGGACTTTAAAAATATTTGCTAGTATATCAATTTATAGAAACTGAAAAATCACCTGACCTGAAAGAGAAATATCCTACCAGAAATTGACCCATCACTTCCGAAAATCTAAAATACATGTAGAACAGTGAAATGCGACAGTCTCGTACCCAGTTGAATATTTACGGCTTGAAATTTTCTGGTCGACCGAAATACAAAGAGATCAAAATATTTTAAACATTCTTGTAATTCATAAGTAGTAAACCTTAAGCAATATTCTACTTCATGCAGATTCTAATCTTTTATCTAACTTTGCTGACAACTGCGTGTGTCAACTCAACGGGATCTGGAACCCATCGACTGCAAGTAGGTAAATCTCTGCAACGTTGTACAATCTCGTTTTCACGTAAGCACGGGCAGTGAAAACAAACGTGCATGAACATGGAGACCAAGGTACAATATCGCCGGACGTGAAAGGTCGTTACGAAAATTCGTTTTTTACCTATCTCAATGTAACTTTTCCAAATATTACTTGAGGAAGACAAAGGGAAAATTCCAACATGAGTGTTTCATGGGGTGGTTTCAGTCAGGAATTATTCTTCCAAAAATTATCGAACGTGATAGGACGGCCCAACGTAAAATCCCCATAGGAGGACCGCGCGAGGGTTCCGGAAGCTCGCTGCGTGACCTTTTACTTTCAGGCTCTATTAAGATTAGAAGGGTTATAACTAGATAAAGGTAATACTAAATTGATAAATCATAACATGAATAATAAGATTCTATTAGTAGTTTGGTCGCATGCAACCTCTGCCATTCAGAAGTCTGCCTAAAAACTTTGAGAACTTAAAATTACTCCTTCAATCGCTGAAAGAATTCTATGTTATTGCTCTAACTGAAACATAGCTTAAAGATGTTTCTTCATCTGTCCATATCTTGCCTGAGTATAAACTCAATAGAACTCAACTTGGTAGGGGTGTTGCCTTATATAATCAATCTGATATTCGGTACAATATAAGGCAAGATCTTAGTTACACTACTGACACCCTTGAATCACATTTTATCGAGATTAATAAAACCTCTCAAAAACTTAATAATTGGAGTAATAATAAAAACCACCTCAAGCTGCAAATATAACTACTTCACTGTGATGTAACCCGTCGTTTATCCAAAGAAAACAAATTAGTATCAACCTATTGGACTATAACAACGATAACTCTGTTTACAGACACTTCAGTATCCCATTCATTTATCTCACTCACGAGGGTATCTCGTCAGTCTGCTACTTTAAATGATCATATCTATGCAAATATTTTGCCCCTTCCAGACGCTGTAGTTGTAATCTCTAATTTAACAGACCAATTTCAAGTCTGTACAACAATACCAATGACCAATCATGCTCGTCCGAAAGTTGAAAACTTTAAACATTTTCATTCTTACACTAAGGATAATCTAGACAAATTGAATTCTGCAGACTGAGCCCCTGTGTAAAGTGTAAGCCCAGAATTCGTCACTCTTAAATTACAAATGCCTGAAATGAATGCATTAAGGGTTAATCTTCAATGTGATGCCAGATTTTTGTATCAGAAAACGTATTTGTTGAAATTAGTGCAAAATTCGCAATTTAGATTTTCTTCGTTGTTAGAAAGGGTCCGTGAAATCCACTTTTTTTATAATGCTCTGAGATTTACCTTTATTTAAAAATCTTACAAATGGAGGAAAATTTTACGTTGTTCGTGGTGTCGTGTTTAGATCCTCCGAAATCTACTTATGCTTCTACACTTTGGTATTTTACGAGGTTAGTCGTTGAAAAATTCCACGCTAAACGTTGTCTGCTTGTACGAAACACCGTTTTTTGTCTGCTTGACTGTGCGCATACATGCTCGTATTAAATAAGCGTTGTCTCTATGGGTTATGAACATGTACGTGTACAGAGTACACTCACAGAATGAGTAGTAAAAAAAATTCATGTAGAAAAAATGGTAAAGTATTACATAAATTAAGTAAATTTTGCCAAAAACAAATACGTATTTGTTTTGTAACCTTAAATTCTCATGTTTTATATGTAATTTTTTTATTTTACAAAAGTAATGTAAATTTGGATAAACTCTTACTGTATACTACGTATAATTTACAAAACGTTATGTAATGCATACACCGTTATGTAAATTATTACCGAGTTAAGGGTAATTTCTCCGTATCCCCACATGCGCTCGCCGCTGCGCCGCCATCGTGACATCGTTCAACTTGAAGTTTGCAATATGGAATCATGCAGCAACTTCTGAGCGATTGGGGATTCGCACATTTGGTGTCCGCATTTGAAGGTAAATCTGGTCTTAATTAGACAACTTGATTACATCTTGGAACGAAAGCCTTCTGCTTATTTGAGAAAGTCATGTGGGCAGGTAGGCCAGGCGTACCGCGGTATCGGGATTTGTGCGTTGATACCATCGTGACATGCATAGCATAGGCCGTGTGCAGTGTACGAGTATTTCGTTCACGTTTATACTCGCAGACCAGCAGTGACAATAAGATAATTACGCTAGTCTCTTGGCTAGGGCTTCCTGCATACTTGACTGAATTTGCATAATGGTCCAAATGCAATTTCCACAGTGCCTTCAACTATTGTTCGAATTCAGTCAGCATGGTAGGCCTATATTCCTTCTTGAGTAGCAGACCCAAACACCATGTATACCACTGCTGCACTAGTTCAAAGTTGGCTCAGTACCACTATTTAGTAATATGGTTTACTGTATAGGCCTGATGTTAGGCCTGTTATCTTGCCTAGCCTAGGCTTACACATGTGGCATGGAATCCAGGCTGTGTTGACCAAGTCTAGCCTATGTAAATGTACGTGGCATTGCTTGGAAGTGGGTTATGCCCATCATTTATCTTTTAGAACGTTATGACTTGAAAAGTGGGCCTGTGAATGTAAATCTAATGAAAAACCAATATGTATCAGGACTATAGACAATGATTGAGAGACGGAATGGGTGGAAAATCTTTGAAAATGCTTACAGCAGATCTGCCTCTGTTCTTGAATGTAAAGCAGATTTCTTGTAATAATTAATATCTCTGTACAGATCCGACTTTGCAATTCTGCAACCTGATGCTGCCAACAACCTCTACAGTAAATGGCCTACACTGTCAGAACATCTGCTTACATACTGTCCAAAGACGTGTCCATCATGGGAGTCATTGGTGTTAGAGCAGGATATTGAGCTGAAGAATCTCACATCAGGTAAATTTATGTTGTCATGTTATTTTTCATGGAGACAGATGATGTAAAGAAAGCCGTCTTGTATAGTGAAGTTAATTTTTTAATTGTCCATTGACCCTTTTGATTTGTGCACCCTTTGAGATATTGCATGGCATCATTTTCCATTGGCACTGTTATATGATAAAGAGTTTATTTTTCTTTTTTCAGAGCAAAGGAAGAATTTGGCTGTGCTTGTTCTGCCGATCCCTTTTACAGGTAGGAGGAAGGGGAAAGGCGGTTGAATTAACCTCTCGGAGTCATCAAGAGCCTTCATGGACTTCCAGTGTGTAATTTGCAGAACTCCTTCAATTGAACAAGTCAAGTTGACAGCCTCGTCGACAATCGTCATACAATTATCACATTTAAAACCTCCAGTTGGGAGGTAATAGGGTAGAGCAAGCACGGTTTTAACATGTACTGCTATGAACCACTCCTTTTATAAATCTACTTTGGAAACTGGACAACCATACAACTGCATGTGAAACTTGCTATGCATCAATCCTTATCTAGCCCATCTTGCTCCTTTCTAAGCCCTCAGCTCACATCCAGGGGAACTTACTTCTCCTTTAGCTTGTTTTGAAAAGCCTTATGAAAGATCTGTCTAGTTTAACATGAGAAACTTTATGCCCAAATGACTGACACTGATTTTATGAAAGCATATTGGAATTCCCTTTTCCTTGTTGACATTCTTTTGATGTGTGTTATTTACATATATGTTGAAATACTTTACTTGGTCCAACTCCTTGTTTGGAACTTCTCCAGGAAAACTCAAGCTTGGAGCAGTACCTAAAAGATACACAGTCTCAGTCCTACATCCTTGCTTTGGGAGGGTCATCTGTTTCACCTCAGCAATGAGTGTTATCATCAAGAGGCCCTGGATGTGTGTTTTAAATCGTACTTCGCATGTGACCTGAAATATCAAGACAAGTGCTGCGTGGCATGGGAATTCCTAGAGGCTGTGGTTTATGGGATCAAAGGCAATGTGAAGAGCAGGGCCATCAGGGACTTCAGAGTCTTCTGCTCCTGCAAAGAGTAAGCAGAATGCATACCACTGCAAGACTGTGAAGTAAAACTAGAAATTTTTTTTGATTGTTTTTTCAGGCCTGTAAAATAACATTTTTTGGTAGCCCCGGTTGGACAATGGCTTTATTACATAATTGTAACTAAAGTCCAAGTTTTAAACCATAGCGACATTACGGACATCAAATTTTTTCACCTTCTTAACTCCCCAAATACCTGAATACCTGAATAGACTCAATTTGCTGCAGATGCTTCAACTATACATTTGAAGCAAGATATGGGACGGAGAGAACCCCCCCCCTGCCTTTGTGTTGGTCATTGTTTGATCAGAATCTCAGGAATTCTTTACAGACTTCAAGGGGGGGTGTGTTAGGTAACAATAGTCTACAGTGTGTGTAGGGATTGGACAGGTAAGGGGGGTACCCCTCCGTCCTATATCTTGCCTAGTATATCAAGTGTGGACATGCATCCTTACCTCTGTACTGACTGATTTTAGATGCATGGAAGATTTGGACAGGTACCGCACTTGTGAGTTTACGAAAGGGAAAACTGGCATACTAGGCACAATGCAATGAATCCAACCTGCAGCCGGTTTCACGAAACTCGTCTTATCTTGCAACTCATCTTAGAACTTGGGACGAGTCCCTGCGATAAGATCGATCTTAGCTAAGATGCGTCCTAGGATCGATTTCACTAAACGCTTCTTAGGCAAGACGCATGCATAATATCGTTAAATATTTTGCTCATTATTGGACGAGGATGACCTGTGTTCTGTGCGCAGCTGTGTCGTGTTTGATAAAGATATTTTCTGCGATACGTGCAACAGCCGTTGGTAGCTTTGCAAAGTAAATTCAAGATGGTTGATTGGGTGAAAGATGCACGGCAAAAGTTCGTCTGGCCGGACTTGTGCTGGTAGAGAATGGAGGGGTGGAGCGACCTTGGAAAAAAATAAGGAAAACCATTACCAGTCAAGCACAGTCATACCGCAGAGAATGCAACAGAACAGGTGCATACATCTGTTGGCCTACTTCGTACTCTTTATTGGGAGCATTAAACATCTGAGCTCAATTATTATATAGAATGCATGGCCACTCCACCAGTTATGATAGTTATGCATTGTACGTACATGTATTTGGCTTGGCAAGTTGGGAGGGTGTTTTTTCAAAGGGAAAGAAGAAGTAAAGTAGCCTAGGGGCTACTCCAAGTTGAAGAATCAGATGAAGGCCAATGGGATATTCTGTTTAATGAAAATAAGGTTAAGAAGTACATTTAGGCTGTGGGTAGACTACACCGTGGAATAAATCGCTTTCTGGTTTCTTCGTGTGGTTCTGAAAAGAACCATTGAATCGAAAATAAGGTAATAGCACAGTGGCCAAGTACGCCTAGGCCTGCTAATTAATAGACCTAGGTTAAATGTACTAAAGTTTTAAACGTGTCAAAAAGTTTACATTCTGAGCTCTGAATTATGTACATGTACATTGACAATATGTTTGAACAAAAACACATTTCTTTTTATAGAATTTCAAATGGAAATGGTGCCTCTTTCACACAGTCTTCCTTGAAGTTAAGCACAGATAGCCTTTCTTTTATATAATTCTATTTGTAATTAACATGTACAGTGTAAAGGATGTTGGCTTTCATCATATGAGGGTCATTCACGTTTGTGACAAGTCTAAATTATCTTATGGTCTGCAGGTGGAAGAGAAAAATCAGATGTGAACAAATCACTGGAAAGCGTGCTAGGTGATCTTGCACCCGTGGCAAAGGATGGAATCCTTTCCCCAGAAGAGGGGGAATCTCCAGTTGCATCAATATCAGTGGATGACGGCCTAATTGAGGATGTGATGTTTGATATGATGGAGAATAGTAAGTAGTTATAATAAAAAATCATTCTATGTAGGGATATATGCAGATAGATATATTACATATTTATAAAGGACTTTTATTTAGAGGGAACTTTTTTCATTTATCACCCTCCCCAGCGACATGGGTACTGGAGTGTCTTATGTCTTTGGAGGCAATAATTGTTATTGGTGCCTGAAATTGTTTCAGTAGTGTTCATTTGAATTGATTGAGTATACTACATATTCACGAGTATTTACTAAGATGAAGGAGACAGGTATAGACTGTAATGCATGATAACACATCTCAATACTCATATTTGAGTTCATTTTTTTCCTTGTCACTTGAAGCCATCAGCCTTGGTGAGGTCATCTTGAAAGAGCCCTACCTTCCAGAAGAAACAAACCAGGATTTAGAGGACAGAGAGTGAACAAGGTGGACTCCATCTGGGAGAAACAGAAACTTGGTTTGGAGCAGGAGAGGCTCAAAGTTGATAAGGAGCAGCTGAAAGTTTCTTAGCAGATTTCAGTTTCACTAAGTGAACTAAGCCACAATGTTCAGTTGTTGGTCAGTGACATATTAGAGAAAGAAACTTAAGAAGCAGTCATGTAATAAAAGCAAATTATAACAACAAATTATATTGGTATAATAAGAACAAGTTATTACATTGAAAAACAGGCTTTGAGATGCATGATGGGGGCAAACAAATGGACCCTTTTCAACAGTTATTCCTTGTTATGCTCAGCACTAAGGTACATGTCAAGAACTGCATGAGCATGCCCATACTTCAAAACGAAAAAGAGCCATTTTGTCTGCCACTACCATGTATCCAAAGTCTCTCATTGTATGTTACTGCACATGGAAATTGTAAGTTTGACATAACCTTAAATGGAGCTTATTTCTCTTGAGTGCAAAAACTCATTGATAATTAAGCATCTCTACTGCCTGTAACACAGTCTGAATATCAACCCTGGATTTACACAAAAATTTGCAAACATTGAACAAACAAAACAGTTGTGGTTGGTGTTCTTTTCCTTTCCATTTAATTACTGCTTCAATAGAATGGATGTAGTCTCAACGGATTAGACAAACAGAAGGGTTTACTAATTCTTGATGGGAACAACTGCCTGGGAAGAATAGAGAAATTATGTTAATTTGTCAAAAGTAAGTATTAATTATTCTCCTTCTCTGTATCGTGCCATCTTGGATTGGGCCATCATATGGTATGCCCTCATCATCCTCGTATTGTACTGGCTCCCCATCCATTTCAGGCTCTCTCAGCTCCTTTGCAATATTGTACACAACATGCCCTGATGATCTGACAGGCTCTGCGGGGGGCCACATGAAGTCCAAGTGATAGACAGGGAAACTTCCACTTCAACTGACCAAACACCTGTTCAACAGTCACTCTAACTCTTCTGTGACTCCTGTAGCAAAGGAAGAAATCAAAAGGCTTTACATGTACATGTACCTTTGATTATTTGTGTCATTCTTTGACTTTGGAGAGAAATGCAGAAAGTGGGGATGTATGTACCCTCTTAATAATCTTCAAAGGTAGAAATTTTCCTTTGCTGGTATTTATTGGTAAAGCCGAACAGTAGTTGGACTTGATATTGTTTGCAAGTAAATAGTGAACAATAAAAATGAGTGGTGTCGGTGTTGAATGTAACGATACACCCGATTTCTCTCTTGCAGTAATTATGTATTTTTCATTGTGCTTTTTGCGATAATACTTTGGCTGCAAGCATAGAAAAAATGATATGAAAGCCCACTTGCACTATAAAGGACAAATGGTCACTTTTTACATGTTAATTAAATTTGTTATAAGAAGAATTACATTCATTTTGGCTTCATGAAAATGCACGTGAAAACTAGCAGCATAACTGTTGTATTGTCTCTCGGCATTTGTTGTCGGATCAGTCATTAGTGTCATCAGCCATGGTCAGAGATCATAGCTGGTGTCGCCTATCAGCAATCCTTGGAGCCTATTTAAAAGAAATTCTTGTGAAATTGAGTTACTTGATATCAACACCTTTTTATAACTTTGTAATGGATATACCATCACTTCAAAGTGATAAAAAGTGGGTAAACCTAACAAACCTTCCAGTTTCGAACATTTCTCCCGGACGACTTCCATGCAGAATCGCACTGTCGTGGGTGCTGCCTGGCCACCGTGCGACGACATTTGTCATTTTGAATGATGCATCACACACCACTGGCACGTTTATGCTATGGTAGCCTTTTCTGTTCACGTATAGAGGCTCATCATTGCCAAGTGGGGCTCCATACAATCTTACATAGGTACAATCTATTGCATCAACTACCCCGGGAAAGCCTGCCAGAGCAAAAAATCCTTGCTTGGTCCTCATCACATCTTGCATGTTGACAGGGAAGCATATGTGTCAATCCGTTAATCTGGCCAGGGAATTAGCAACCCGATGAACAATACGGCATACAGAGGGGACACTCATGTCATGGAGATCCCCTTTAACAGTATAAAAGGCACCGGTGCCGAAGAATTGCAGGGTAGTGAGAAGCTGCATCAGTGGTGAAATGGCATTGCTCTGCTGTATAATGAAAAATGTCCAGAAATATCTACCTTTTCAATAGATTCATTTATTTTTCTGTACCGTTGACCATTGCAATTTATGATTTTACAATGTTAGGACGAAGCCTGAAATGATAGTGCTTTGGCTTCAGGAAATAGGACCCTCGTCTGGTCATTAACAATCCCTCGATGTCATAGATGTGCACTAGTGACCTCATAGCAAGTCCATATGTGTATAATAGTGTACAGTTGGGTTGCCAGAAAATTGCTCATTAGTACATGTACATGGGTGAAGACAAACAAATCCCACTATTTTCTGCATAATTGCTAACTTTTTTTGTCATTTTTCTTCCAGGAAGTAAATTCGATGAGAAAGCCTTTCTGTTGAAAGCAAATGATGAGCACCTACTGAAGGTAATGGTTCCTACTCAAGGAGTGGGACTGAAGCTCAAGAATCACTGGCGTCTACTTGCACCAAGGTGCCTCCATGTTGAGGACTAGAAGGCGAGTGTATGCTCTGTTTCATTGTTGACTTGAATTTCATTCATGTAAATTGTAGGAACATCGAAGGGAAACGCTGAAGATTTGCTCCAAATCTTTTTACCACTAAAACCCAAGGCTGTGCACACAGCTGTGGGTTTCACTTAATGACTTTCATTGCTTAGTTATTTCTGTGATTTTAGCATATTTCATTGTTTATTTTTAATGCATATTACCACTAACTTCCCATGCAGACTGTGCACTTGGAGAAGAAGTCTCAAAAGCAGCTACACAATGTCAATATTCTCTGTGGATGGGCTCTGAAGCATGAGCAAGTCTTTCTCATAGATGTGTTGACTTCCTTCAGAATGCAAGTCTGTCATCGAAACAGCACTTCTTTACTTCAAAGAAATTTGACTGCTGCCAGTGGACATTATTTCATGTATAAAATGTTGAACCTAGAGTATGCCCTTTGAAAACATTTCTGAGAAAAGGTTGCTAATTTCCATTTACTTAAATGCCAAAGGAAAATGGAATATTTTAATTGTCAAGTAGAAAAAGAGATTTTGGTGCACTTATTATGCAAGATTGATATTTCATACCTTAATCTGCATCACTGAATTCTACTGAATTTGTAAATTCGAATTGGCGTGAACCTCAAAGGCCTTTTAAGCTAGATATAAATGCCCAAACAAAAATTGAAAAGGGGTCAATTGAAAAAAATGTGCAATGTCTGGGATTCTCGAAAAAAAAATCCATTACATGGGTCCGTTAAATTGAATTTTGAATAAAAGTTTTACGTTTATGAATTTAAAACAAGTGTTACGTTTTGTGTAATATTTCATGAAAGGAAGCATGGATACAACAGATTAAGTCAGACTAAATAGAAAAATGATGAGATTTGACTCTAATTGCATCTAACTTAATTGGATCTGAATCAAAATGGAATCAATGATTCCAACAAAAAGTAAACCTGAATTTTGGTCATTTGAAATAATTGTTTTTATCAATGATACTGACTACTGAAACAAATCTACTCGGATTGTCCAATTTCAAGCTTCACCCAGCTGATCCCGAAAAGCTTTTCCCAATTTACGAAACTGTAGGCAAATTGACCGGTGCTTTTCAGAGTGGTTCTTTTTTACGGTCTGAAACAATGATTTCCTGCTGTTCTGTACCATACGCCAATCTAGAAATTGGGCTCCAGTTCCGCTGAGATGACTTAAGTGGCGCAACAGGCAAACATCAGATGATCCCACATTAAACTTTAAGAAATTCAAGTTGGTCAATTTTCGTTATTTTCACCCACATGCCCATCCACTCGTCCGTAAGAAAATTTTTACGCGTTTTTCCTTGAGGGAGTACAATTATTTCAGATTTTATTTTGCTTGTCGGAATTTCGCGGAAATGGCACTTAATCGGAACTGTGTAGCACGTTTGCTTTGGTAAAATCGAAATTCATCAATCAGAGTATCGGAAATTTCATGAAGTTATAATAGTAGGGAAATTTGAGGTAAAATATCGCTGTTGTAAAACATTCTATAGGAAAGATGAAAGTGCGCCACGTTAGGGGCCGCACTGCACCACGTCGAGGACGTCAACAATACAGCCTACTTACCCGGGTGTCCGGCCCCAAGTCATTTTCTACTCTTTCCAGAACTCGAAATATCCCTTCTCGCGTGAACTTATATCGTCAGAAAACTTCCTCACATTCAAGCTAGTGGATCTAGTGGATTTCTCCTGTCTCTAAATATTCTCTCTCGCCTTATTGCCCGCCGAGCTTCGCGATCAGCATTAAGCATAAGTGCCGTTTCGCTGTTTTCTACAAAAATGTATACGTTTGCATATAGATAAGACGGCCCCAATACTGATCTTAAGTTAAGACGGGTTTGGCCGCGTTGCTAGGGAAGTTACGATGCGTTGAACATGTCCTAAGTTTGGTGAAATCGATCCTAGGACGAGACGCATCTTAGGATTCGTGAAACCGGCCGCTGGACTAGGTTTTTACCAAAGAAAAAAATTAAAGCAACCGTGATTGCCTTACCAAAGAAGCAAATCCCTGATTGTGCTGCATTAATTGATTTCCCTTAATGGAAGCATTCAATCTCTATACAAATGAAAACTGACTTTTACATTGAACATTTCATGCTGAAAAATTCTTGTATGACTTTTTGGATTCAGTAAAAATTGAGCCCATCAAAATGTTTTCAGATCATCAGGATGTAAAATGAAAATGAGTCAACTTAAGCAGAGAATTTTGGAAAAGATGTGTTTCAGACTTTGGCTATCAACATTATCTTTGCTTATGGTGAAATTTTGAGACATATTTTTTTCAAACCTTTAAAGACCAGTTATAACCAGCGTACAAATATAAAGCATCCTTATTATTATTTTTTATTTTGTTGCCTTAGAAGCCAGTATCTGAGTGTAGTCTCTAAAAATCCCTGGTTGTGTTTCTTCATACTTCAACTTTTCAGAAGAATTAGTGTTCATTGTTACTGTTGCAAATTGTTTTGAATCAAGCTCATCAAGGAATTTGAATTGTATTTCATGGTCGAAATTGCCATCTGGTTAACTATGATTGTAAATTTTAATATTGTTACAATTATTAGTATAATTGACAATAAAATTTAACTGATAAATTTTAACATTCATGTTTATCGCTATTTTATCATACGTCCAATAATCTTTTTTAATGAAACATTATTTCTCACATAAAAACACATGAAAAATTTGTAAATTGTTTACACGAAAAACCAGTAAAAATACCGATTAAATAGTAAATCCGGTCATCAACTAACATAGATACCATGTAGAATTATACCAAATAATGGGGTAAAGGTTTTCTTGACTTCTTTTACCAAATTATGGGGCAAATTCACGTACCTATTTTCGAAGTAAACTTTTAAAAAACTTTTATGAAGATGCTTAGGTAAAAGTTATTGTGTAAAATTGTACATAATTATTAGCGGGTTCGTATAGCACATTGGAATTATGTACAATTTTGCACAACTTGTGTATTTTTTTTTCTGTGTGTGTATTTCTGCGCGCGAGCTCATTAATATTTTGTGATCCCACGGGATTTTTTACAATAAGACAGACCATAATCAGGAGGGATCATAGAAATATTTCTATAAATCCCGAATTTCAGACTAATATTTTCCAGTTCGGGGTATTTCTTTCACAAAAAGCCCCAAACTGCGGGCTTATTTTGGATGGAGGCGGGCGGCTACACTCAGAAATGAGCGCTCAGTTTTACTGATATTTTGGGGGTATCTTCGTTGAAAGACGTATAAAAAACATTTTCGGGGCTACCCCTTGAAGTTGAAACGAAAAGTGATCTGGCCATGATTTAGAATTTTCAGTGAAAAAATGGAGGCCAACCTCTTCACAAGAGTCAACAGGTGGCCCTATTTCGGTCCGATTTTGCAATGTTTTCTATGAGCGCGTTTTTGGTGTGGTGAAACCTTATGTGCTGTGCATGTGCAGTGGGCGTGGTTTAAACTGAAGTGACGTCACATTTACGAACCGGATAGAGTGCAAGTATGTCTGTAAAATGCATTAGCGCGAGAACCTGCGCCTGAACCAACAAGCGTTTGTACAGCATGTGGTGGTTCTCAATGACGTCACACTTCACTATGGTGTACTATTTACGACGAACATTTCTCTCTCTCTTGCCTCTCTCCAGGCGACGCAACCAGACGACGCGACGGCACAACGACTCCCTTGCGTCGTTCCGTCGGGGCGAACAGTCGCCTTCTTGCCATTTCGTTTGTACACACGCGTCGCGTCTTGCGTTGCGTCGCGTCGTGCCGTCGACCGTCGCGTCGTACCGTCGTGTCGTGCATCGCGTCGCCTATTACGTCCCCTGAAGCGCGACGCACGACACGGCGCGACGCGTCGTGTTCTGTTGCCCTTTGCTTCATGGTGTTTGTAGAGGGCGCCTTTACTGTTTCTTTCATTTCCGCCCCCTGAAAATTTCATTTTCCGCTCTTACTTGAATAGTAGGGTACAGTCCACTAATTCAAGCCCCATTGAAAACAGTGTAAAATCGGCGCTATTCAGGGCCCAATAACTTGCTTACAAACATCCTTGAGATTGCGTAAACACAAAAAAATTATTGTCTGGTCCCTAATCTGTCGATTTCCTTTCAATTTATTGTGGACCAACCAATTACATTTTTAACTATTCCCACAAAACAAAATCACCCCGAAAAGTGATTTTTTTCGAAGTCTGATTGCAGCCATTTTTCAAGTGGCAACCCTCAACCTTCTTGGGCACTTAGGACCATTTTTCAGTTGTAGTTTTCAGCCATTCTGCTCTCATAGGACAGCTCGAAGACCCAGGCAGTTGATCCTGGCAACGATTTACACAATCTCACCATTTCGGGGGCCAAGCAATCTCCTTTTTTCAGAAAAATGCGGGGCAGCTACTTTTAATGCTAATGACTGAGCAGTAATTCTTACTTGAATAGTGGACTGCATGCACCCAGGACATGGCATTCGCTCTTTGTACGCTGCCGTCATGGGCATGCAGAGCCTTGAACTGACAGCTTTCGAAATATTGTCCAATCGTATAGTATAGATGGTAGAAGAACTAACGCAACATCATGCCCAAAATTACTTACCAACATACACGGAAAAGCTACCATATCGAGGCTCTGCATGCCTATGGCGGTAGCGTACAAAGAGCGAATAGGTGGCAGGTCTTGTTTCTGTTATTGTTCTTTTTTATGCATATTAAGTTACTTTCAAACTTTGTGTTTTCAAGAGGAGTGAGTTGTTGAAGAAAAGGTTTGTTTTTTTAATCAAATATGATTAGAAAGATTGTCACGACCAACTAT